CTATATATATATATATATATATATATATATATAGTACAACCAAGAACTATTTTAACAACTATTTATTCTAAAAGTACACAAGTTTCATAAGAAGAAGTATTAGCAGAGAAGCAATAAATAAGAATGGAGAAACATCTAATACAAACCAGTTAATATAAGTAGTATATCCCAACTTTAAACAAAATATGAACTTAAATTGCATAACAGAGTATGAATACACTCACATATGGCACTTGCAAAAACTTGAAAATAGTTTCCACTCCTCTGGGCAGTAGCTTGGCAAAGAGTTTAGATTACAATCACACATATATTTTACAGTCACTCAAATCCGCTGTGGCAAGATACACCACCCAATATACAGTAGAAAGAAAGAGGGAAAAGATAACAGTAGAATCGTAAATAGTAGAGAGAGTAAGAAGAATAATAGTGGAGACAGATAGGTAGAAGAGAATAACAGAAAGTTGAAACTGAGAACAGTGACTATGGATTCACAGAGACGGCTGGAATGAACACAAAAGGAGATGGCAGAGAGAAGCCTTAGAGTGTAGAGAGATAGCTTTGAGAGCGCAGAGTGACGAAGAGTACAGAGAGCTGGAGAGTAGAAAAGCTGGAGAGTACAAAGAGAGAGAAATGTAGACAGAGTGGCTGCTCAGAAAGATGACTGAGCGGAGATAGAGCTGAGAGAGATGCAAACAGAGTGGTTGCTCAGAAAGATGACTGAGCGGAGATAAAGCTGAGAGAGATGCAGACAGAGTGGTTGCTCAGAAAGATGACTAAGTGGAGATAATTTAAATCAGAGAAGGATAGAGAACTGTGAGTTTAACTGAAAGGGAGATGAAACCCTGAAATTGAGAGGGAAGGCTGAGAGAGAATGGCAGAACCAGAGAACATGGAAGATTCAGAGAAGAGAAAGCAGAGAAGAGCGCAGAGAAGGTTAGGAGAGCAGAGAAGATTAAGAGAGCAGAGAAAGCAGAGAAGAGAGTAGAGAAGGTTAGGAGAGGAGAGAAGATTACTGGGGGAGAACACCCTCTGCCTTTAGCTTCACCTCCTTCTTCCCTTTTATAGACATCGGAGTCCAAAGTTTATTAGATGTGCTTCAAAGAGGATGCCAGCTCAAAAGGCATGAGGTGACCCAAAGTTGTCGGTAGCACAGTAAAAGGTGAATAGTGACATCAAAAAGTTGTCGGCAGCACAGTAAAAGTTGAACAGTGACATCTTGAGGTGACAGAAAGTTATCAGCAGCACAGTAAAAGTTGAACAGTGACATCTTGAGGTGACAAAAAGTTGTCGGCAGCACAGTAAAAGTTGAATAGTGACATCTTGAGGTGACAAAAAGTTGTTGGCAACATTATTCCTTGTATTAGCCCGGCTTTTAGGTTTGGGATAATCTGAATTCACAATCCTCATTTTCATGGGCATAATCCTCTTCGTTTTGTGTGGACGTGGACATGGCTTCTTCTTCTTCATCAAAAAGTTGTAGTAGTTTTTTCTTCAATTCTTCTTTAGTAGCCATGGGATTCTGCCGACGCATCCTGTTTATATAGTCGGTCATATTATTATTTCCAGTCTCAGGTGGTGAGATGAGTACTTTTTTCATTTTTATATTGTCTGGATCAAGGGCTTTATTTTCGTAGACATCCCACCATTTTATATATACCTGTCTTCCCAATTTGGGAATGTATTCCCAATTATTTGTATAATTATCTGATTTTTGGTAGGACCATTTCTTGATCCATGGTATTTGGTATAATGCCATAAAATACATATGAAGATCTATTCTTGTGTCATTATTATTATATTCAGCAAATTTCCTCTGAGAGGCTTGTAATTTTGGCGGTAATATTTCGGTTCCTGATCCCCATAGTTGGAACCAGTTTTTGAACCAATTTGGGAATTCTCCTACCACTGGTATTTTTATTTGAAGGAACCATGTATGGGACTTATTAATATTTTGGAAGGCAAATACTCTATGCCATGCTTCAACATATTCAGTATATCGAAAGTATTTGTTATTAAATCCTTCTGTTTGCAACCTTTTTGGTTTTATTGGATCCATACCCCAATCCTTATATGATATTATTTTGCGGATCTGGAACTTGGAGTATGCAATTATATTAGTATTTTTCTTATAAAAATGGACCATTGTTATTGATCCGGTTTCCAAGAGGATGGCTTCATACCATTCTTGGGTCTTATTATTATTGGAAGGGTGTAAATGATTATCTAAATAGATATTTGCTAATTCATATGGATCTTTATCTGTATGAATATCATCTATTCTTATTTCAGCTATAAAAGTGGTTTCTATGAACTTGGATTTTTCTCCTCCTGAGGTATTAGGTATTGATATTGGCTCAGCAGAGAATACTATTTCTTGTGCTTGCTTTCTAACTAATTGATTTGGGGTTATAGGAGAAGTTATTAAGGTCTTGTCTAATGCTGGAACTATTTCCATTTTCCCTTTCCCCATGTTTGGTATTATTCTTCTGTCCCTGTCCCCCTGCAAAAATTCACTGGTTAAAAAGTCAGGAAGATAATTAGTATTTCCTTTAATATGCTCGATATCAAATTCAAAGGAGGATAGTATACCCTGCCATAGTGTAAAAATCGGCTTTGAGACAAGGTTCTTGACATCTTTATTAAGAATATCTTTTGCGGCTTTACAATTAGTTCGTATGAGAAATT